AAGGCAGAGAACAGTCTTTGTCACTTGGGCTGAAGATCAAGTTCAGACAGCAAGAAGTGACCCAGATGCAGCTGCATAAAGGCAGATCTTGTAAAGAAAAGCAAGTCACAGGGAGGCAATGTGCTACTGCAGGTTACTTGCTGCTGCTGGACCAAGTGTAAGAGCAGGTTGACACTGGAGAAAAAGGAAACTCTTCAAAGAACTGAGCTCCTTCACATCTTCCCCAGTCACTGAATCCATCTCTCCAACTGGGGATGCTCGCTGACTGCGGTTAGGTACCCAAATAGCTACAGGCACGCTTCTCCCACTCCGGCTGGCCAAAAGACTGTGCCCTGTTTGCACAGTGATATGTTGAGAGCAGCCTCTGACTCTTTAACTGCTAGGCTTAACCATCCACCATTCATTACACTGCACACCCAGATAAAACCTCCAGCTGTTCCCAAAAACAACAGCTCATCAACAAAAGCCAGGATGAGTGCCTCGGGCAAATGCTTTGCTTTTGTGTTAGCTCCCTGTTGACTAAAGCAACCCAAGGCCCCTTTCTGACCATCAGGGCTCACAGAAGGTTTGGCCACAGCTGAAAGGGAGGTGATTTTCTTCCCCGTGCTCTGAATTTTCACACCATTTACATTGCTCTCAAATCCCACAGCTTGTAAGTGACAGGCTCCCTGCGTGGATGCAGACCGTTCGGAAGAAATGGCCCAAGACAGGGGAAGTGCGTGCGTTGCCATTGCTGCTTCCAGGATTATCAAACGGACACAGCCAAGCTCTCGGATTGAAACCGACTTTGCTATTACTGTATTAATGCTGGTTTGCATGTTTATTACCTTGCGCATTTCAAACTTCACTGAGCTGAATCTTAATAAACAGATATATTCTGAATGGATTTTGTTATTGTTGTGCTTTTTTTTTTTTTTTGTCCCTCCCCCCTGGCCATTAAGACTCATTATGTGGAGTCATCAGCTGGTTTGCTTTGTTTCCCATCTGTTCATACAGTACTTGAGTTCTGGGATTTTTCCCAGGGTGTGAGATAATGCTGCAGATGGGAGTGCAATTTCCACTGTTTTGATTTTGCCCCAGTGGGGCTTCGTGTGGCCACTGGTGGAAAAATGACAATTGCACTGGTTTTGATTAAAGATTTTCCATATTATAGAAACTCCTCAAATCTCAAAATTTTCAAGATCATGTTGTGAACTAGAGTCAGTGGCAGGTTTTTTTTTCTAAGAGGATTTTCAATCCTCTCCCCATCTACAACGCCTCCATTCTCTGAAGTAAACAAGGACTCTTTTTTTGAGAACAAATCTTGTGCAATTTCAAGTCACAGGGAAAAACCACCCCTGCCTGTGACTGGGGAGAAGATAATGTTCTAGTCCTGTTGCTGTTAAGGGGAACAGAAATTGGAACCTAATGAGACTTTGAGGGGCAAGTCCAGTCTCCTCTGACCATTGGTAGACACCTCATATCAGACCTTTCACTTGTGTATCAGTTAGGTTGTCATACTGACAAGCTCTTTCACTAATTCACTCCCTTGATGTCTCGCAAACCTTCTCCCCTTATTTGCAGCCAAGGTATACTTTGGTCAGGTTATACCCATTTGATCTCATGTCTAAGTTGTCCTTTTTCTCAAATACCTGTTCTCTCTCCCCAGTTTTTATTCCCTTCTGTATTTGTAGAGAATGATCACATCCATTTCAACCTTTGCTCTGCGAGGCTGAACAAACCTCTCTCTTCTGTAGCTTCTTGCCGGAAAAATATGCTCTCTGCTCTCCTCACCCTCCTTGCAACTCCCAGGTGAACTTGTTTCAATTTATATTCATCTGCCCTGGTGACGGGAGCTAAAGCACTGCTGTCAGTCCTGAAGCCAACCTACAGAAACGTACCTGCTCCAGTTTCACTCCCTCGCACTGCTGCTTGGTGCCGTGTTTTCTCCTGGTCTGCATTTTGAGACTTGTTTTAATTTTCAGGTGATGACTCCAATCTGATTTCAATCACATCCTGAAAATGCCCTCTTTCTTCCCCTTTGCATTCATTTTCTAACATAGATTAAGTGGCTACAAAAGTATTTTGATCAGTTATTCTCTGATTCCATCTCCTGGTATTTTTCTTCCAGATCTGTAATTCCTATCTCGATTTCTCAGCATCTTTGCTACTAAAATTGCTAGACACTATCTTTGGAGTAGGTTGTACAAAGGTGTGAGCTTCTCTCTAGGTGTAGGATGGTGAGCTCTGAGAGAGGCATCTCTTCCCAACTTTGCCAGATCCACAATTTTCTGACTCAGAATCGTTATTATTTGTACTACATTTCACAGGAACATTTTCCTGTGGTCACAGCGCAAGACTCCAAGCTATTCTAGCAGCATTGAGCTCCAAGATTAAGAAAGCTTTAACACAACACTGGCCTAGTGGCAGCTCTAGCAAGGACTTGCTTGTATGGCTTTACAGCAAGTGGCCGCAGAGCCAGGAGGGGCAACCAGCAACCCTGCCCCTTGTCACGCAGCAGGATGGTTATCCGAGGGGGGGGGGAGCAACTGCTGTCCCCCCGGCCTTCAGGGTAAATCCACCTCTCATAAACATAAAGCTACTTACTGGGCATATAAACCTGCAGTGATATCGGGGAAGTCAGGGAGGAAAAGACCTGTAATTGTTCAGCAAGGTTTTTCATCCTTAAATTACAGATACCCAAGAATGCTCAATTTTCATCTATTTACTTCTTTCAGAGGAACATAAGTGCTAAAGAAAAGGTCATTCATCCTGGGTTTTTTTTGTTAAACCCAACATTTTGGCATAGAAATGCTTACAAAATGACCACATTTACTCAAGAGTTTAAAGATTTTTACTCTGTGAGTGGAGGAGGAGAGATTTTTAATGGAAGTGCAAAATTGCTTTAATAAGGGGAAAAAAATGATAGGGCAATTGTGAGGGAATTATATTTAAGATGAAAACTAATGCTAGGAGATCACCTATGCTTACTGTAAACCTTCCGGAAGTATCCAGGAATCTCAGCCAGAATCTCGTTGTGTTAGAGATGTATGAACCTAAAGAGGCGAAGAGGGGGGATGTATAAAGACAGCTAATGCTGGTAGCAGTCTGCAGACCTTTTAATAGGCCTTAGATATAAAACTGGTCCAATAAATCTAATAAAGCACACAATTATGCTTCCCAAGCGTAGGGTTTTACCTCAAGTCAGGTCAAAATGTAATTTCAGGGGAAGAAGAATCAAAGCAAATACTCAGGAGAAAATCTGTCGAAGCAGTGAACTTTTCACCTCCAACAGCTAGTAATGACCACGGGGTACAAGATCAGATGGTTCACTTAACCACCAAGTAACAAAATTAGGCTAAAAGTTAGATCTAGTCTGCCCAGAGGCAACATGACAAATTAGATTCATCCACTCGCCATATTTGTATTAATGCACTTTTGTATTAGTGAACAGATTAGTGAAGGCTTTGCCTTGAGGCAGGATTTTCTGGCACTGAACTCATTTTCAAACTGAGGTTTTCCCCTGAGAGCACGATAAGACCCTCCCTTCTTTGCAGCAGAGGATCTGATCCTCAGCAAAGATTTACCTGAGAACAGCTCTTAACACTCTGGCGCTTTAACCACTGTAGATTTCTTTCTATAAAGCTACGTAGATTGTACACTCTCTCTCTCTCTATATATATATAAATCATTATGGAATGTTTAGTTAGCATGTTTCCAAAAGCAGTCAGTGTGTTCCACTGCTAGTATTTTTTTTTTTTTTAAAGTTGTTTCAAAATCAATTCTCTGGGACAAGCTCTGTAAACTCGTCCTGGCTCCCAGCCTTGCTGGCAGTCAGTGGTGAGAACTGCTGACTGTGCAGACGGCCGCCTCTCTTCGCGTCGTGGCTGCAACCTGCAAAGGGTCGTAGCCCTGCAGTCTCGTGGCCCTGCGAGTCATGGGACTCACAGCACTTAATGCCACTTATAAGTGTGAGTGTTTCCAGCACGAAGCTTCTCTTTGCAGCTGCAGCAATGTGGCATCCCTCTGACCTGGGAGGGAGCTGTGAATCAAGAATGCATTTCTTTTTTGCTCTGAAGATGAAAGTCTTTTAAAATTAATTGCATGACATTATGGCTCGTCTGTGTTGTCAGCTTTGATTTTGCTGTGACAAAATGATGGCTGCTCCCTGTCATACAGAGTGACGCCGTGTCTGTGAGCACCGCACTCATCAAGTGGCAGCAGCGAGTTAAAGCATCGCTGTGATCTGCATGGAAAGCAGTTTCATGGAGTGGGGCACGGAGGGTGAGGCAAGTGCAGATGTTACACTCCTGCAGGGGGGACAACCGGGCCGTCACTGCTGCTGATGATGTTGGCTTTGCTGTACCACCCACAAACCTGTGCCAGGTATCCAAACCGCCTCATCTCATCCCCACAACCGTGCAAATTGCTGACAGTGATGCTCTCGAGAGGTGTAATTGAAGCATTCAGAGCAGAATACACAACCAGTAGATCTAAAATCAGAGATCTTAAAAGAGCAGCTCTGCTGCCTTAGCAGGGCTGGATGGAGAAAGTGGGAGCAGAAGCAGCGGGAGGACACTAACCCATTTTCCCTTTAGAGGGCAGTGGTGTTCACGGTACAAAAGCTGCATTTCCAAGGAGGCAAAACCCTTACCATTAACAACTGGGGTCAGCAGCACCACTGCAGGGTAATAGGGACCAGTACTGAAGCGGTGCTGCTGGCTGCACTACGCCGTACAGAAGAGTATCTCCCTCTGATACACTTTCGGTAATGGTCTGTGCAGGGGCTCATTAATTTCCCCTTGTTTTCTTGCACAGTAATCAGACAAGTAATTATGGTTCCACTGAGAGGCTTCCTTTCTCCCACCACACCGTGAGCACAGTCCAGGGTGAAGTGCTCCTTACCGTCAACATTTGCCAAATTACAGCCTCTCTCCGAGCCAGACGAGCCCTTCCTGCTAGATTTATGCCAAACCTGTTCGGAGAGCCAAGTAAGAAGCGATTCTAAAGGCGGTACTAACCTTTTCATGGGTTTCGGTGAGGCCTCCCGCTCCAGGTTGGAGGACGCATGCTTCACGTGCATGGCGTTGTAGGAGGTGTGGGTGTACTCATTTTCATCACTGTAGTCGGGACCGAGTAATGTTCGAGCCCATGTCCCCATGTCGTACGGAGGAAGAGTCCCCCCAAATTCAGAGGGCAGACATTCAGGATGTATTAGCTGGTGAAGGCTGTTCAGGTTGTTACCATGAAGAAAGATCTTTAACAAGAAAAAAGAAAGTTCAAAGTCATCATCGATTCCTTACTTAATAAAGTACAATGATAGCAGCATTAATGAAGCGTGGAGCGTCATTCGTTGACACTGCAGTTTCAGGTGGGAATTTCTGAAGTGCTCAGTGCTGGTGCAGGGGGGCAGGAGGAGGGGGATTAGCTTTGGGGTGTGCAGCTGAAGAATTAGGATGACACCATAAACACTTCTGAAAATCCTGATTTGCTTATTTTTTGGCACATGACACTTTCACTTCCTTATGTACCAGATCAGGGAAAGTTCAAGTCAGAAATAATGACTGATTATTGCTACTGTAAGAGGATAGAGGCTAGTAGGAAGGTAGTGGAGCTTACTGAAAGAAGATATGAAGAGTAGGTCCTCAATGTCTGAGAGGACAACCCAGCCCTGCACGCCGGGACTGACGTTTCTCAGGAGCGCAGGTCTGTGTCGCCACTTTGTACTATTTCAGCAACGTTTGTCTCTCTAATCCCTCTTTGCTTTCAGGCTGGTACTACCCCTGTCCTGCCTGGTCAGATACACCCCAGGGTGAGCTCTGGGGCCTCCTGAGGGATGATGCAGTGGTGATTTGATAGACTGCAGAGAACAAATGGCTTTCACATGGGTTTCAGTGGGGAAGACCTGCCTCTTCTGCAGTGTGAGCAAACAGCCTTCAGGTATGGGCATTTTTAGTGGAAACGAGTTATCATCATGTGAAAACAGTCAACCTGCTGAAGGAACGAAATAGGAAATTTTACTCCCACAAAAAGAGTTGAGCTGAAGTTTCCCTCACTGCAGGTGATTTCAGCCAGGCCTGATAATCCCTCCACATTGCCAATTCTCTCTATCCATGAGCATGTCCCATTAAAATGTATCTACACTTTGTTAGTGATAACAGCTTTCTGGTCCCTGGCTGAGTTATTGATTCAATCCAGATCATTGCAAACTGTAAGTTTTAATAAAAGCACCAATTCTCTGAGCTCATATGAAAAATGCAGAGAGAAAAAGAAAGAAGAAAAGAAAGCAGGCAGCTACTCAGCTACTCTGGTTTCACAGCTTCCTATCCCCCCCCGGCCCCTTCCAATTACCCTTTTCCTTGTCTTGTCTTTGAGGAACGGTTTGATTAGCGTGTACAGGGCATGGATGTACCAGGGCTGGTTGACAAAATGGACTCCTCCAAAACGAGCAGGAAAGCTGTCCTACAGAAAGAAAGAAAAGGAAGGCAGTTAATAGATGCAGTGCTTTAGTTTGGCAGTCAATAGGATGAAAGTCAGAGGAAAAAGTCTGCCTCTTTCCATCTGCAAACAAGCGCTGGGCTTGCTGGGAGGGGGGCAGGAGGGAAATGGAAAAAGAAAGATGCCTGGAAACATTTGCATCAGTTTCTTCTGTTAGCAGACGCAGTGCCTTCTTCCCTCCACACACTAACGCATCAATTGCTAATGATTTAAAGTAGGCTCTCCAGACACTTTGCCTGAACATTTTTAACTCCATCAGGGCATCTGACTTGGCCGGGATGGGAAGTGAGAGGGGGGCGATGAGCGCCGCTCCCTCAAGGGGAAGCTTTCTAATTTCTCATTGTGTGGTGTAAGGCAAGCCCCCGGTTCCCACGCACATCGCTGCACACAGCTCACCTTTTCACCCTTCGGCCTCCCTGCCTCCCCCCTGCTAAAATCATCATTACAATGGCTGACCTTTCGGGGTGAGCGAGCAGCATATTATGGGGAGGAGGATGGGTGGGAAATGCTGATAAGTGAAGGTGTAGGGAGAGCGCACCATGACGGCACCATGGAAACTGCCGGAGCCAAGTGCTCGCTGCCAGGCTGTGCGCAAACACCCTCAGCATTAACATGCAGGTAGCGTCCCGCCGGGGACATGCCGGTGTGGCACGCTTAATAAAAGAGGAGGTTGCTGGCGTGCCTCTAAAGGTTATTGTATATTGTGATGAGTATTTTGTACCTACACTCCCATCTAACAAATGTCAGTCAGTCAGGGAAGAGCCTAGGGTTTTTTCACATTGCATAAATAGTGGGACGACGGTTGCTCCTGCGTGCAAATATGCTTCCAGCGAGAGAAGAGGTGCCTGTCTCTCCCCTGCGAAGGGAGATCCTGGTGAAGCAGTTCTCAACCTGCCTGTGCTCCTAACCCCCACAGCTCAGCACGTAAAGACAGAGCATAATCAGGTCTCTTCCTTCAGGGCTTTGGCTTCCGGATTCAGGCAGGTTCATTCCCCCCCCTCCCCCCCCAATTAGCATGGGGTATCCTGAGGCTTTCTCTCACCTTCCTCCAGAGCATCAGAGATTGAGCACAGCTGGGGAGGATATGGGGTAGATTTGTGAGATGATATGGAAAATCCCCTTATACACCTGCTCAGTATAGCTTCTGTGCCGCTTCAAGGTCTAATTGTTTCCCAGATTGAGCACTATGTAGGCGTCCCACCACCCACCTCCTACCACCCAGGGCAGATTGGCAGAAATTTGCTCTTTAACGTTGACCATGGATAGCCTTGGCAGTCATCTTAAACCATATGTGGGTAATGTTTGTGAGCGGCCACAGGCATTAAGTGATACCTTTTTCTTTTGCTATACAGTAGCCACTTACACCTCAGACACATCAGTTTACCTGAAATCATTACAAATCTCAGTAGTGGATGCTCTGTGCAAGCCTAGAGGGCAGTCAGGCCAGCACACAGGAGGCCAAGCAGTGTCACATAATGGGTCATCCCATTTTAAATCCCGGAAAACTATGAGCTGAGCTTTTATAAGGATGGCATATGATCTGTTGAGGTGTTCATTTACTAAAAAGACAACTGCATTTCCATTGCTGCTGAAATATTCATTAGAGTTTAGGGACACAGATCTGACGAATAAACTACTGCAGTGCTGCAGGTTGCAGTGACTTCAAATGGGCTGCGCTGAGAAACAGCTGCAGAGAATCTGAGCCCACCTAGAAAAAAACATTGACCAACAGAATTGTGAAGTGAAGCCCAAAGTGATTTCTTTACCTAAAATTGGGTGTTAGAGCAGACCACAGCCAAAAATGCCCATCATCTCATGCAAAATTCTCATATTCAGTTGCTTTCCTCCTACATGGGAATGTAAATTGGAAGATTTAAAACTTTTCACAGAATATTCTATAAAAAAAAATTAAGAAATATTGGAATGTTCCATATTTGTGCTTTTTTTTTTTTTTTTTTTTTAATTCTATATCTGTCAAGGCAGCTGCCATTCTAGGAGCTGTATCTCTAAGGCAGAAGTTCTGGACTCCTTTGCTCTTTGGTGCTAACTGCCTCAGACATCCCAGATTGTACCATAGCAGCACAGGTCAGTGTAGCAGGTACAGTCTGAGTTTGAAGCAAAGGACAGTAAAGAAATGAGAGATGGAAGACAGGGGAATAACTTTAAAATACAGAGATTTATACTGACCCAAAAAAGAAAACTTGTTTTGCCTGCTCGCTAGAATGCAACGATGAAACTAATAACAATCTTCAGTGAGAAATGTCAGTCAGACTTCATTTCTGTGGGGGAACATGGGGTTTTTTTAGAACATGTTGACCAGCCTTAATGACACCACATTATCCAGAAAGGTCTGAATGCTGAGAATTATAGGAAGCGACCAAAGATTTAAACTGGCAGACTGCCCCTAGAAAAGGTTGACTAAAGAGACGGATGAACTCTCCTATATAGGAGATGACTTTTATGTCCACACAACATAGATTGTTGAGTCCATAAACTAGATTTTGTCTGGTACATTGGTAGATTAAGTGTTACAGGAAAGCCCCTCATATAACAGTTTTATTTAAAGGCAATTGTTTTATTTTCATTCTGAAGGTACCCCTGAAAATGAACAAAGACCCTTGAAAATGCACAAAGACCGTTTTCCTGGCATGATGGCCAGGAAAAAAACAACAACCAAAGAACATTTTTGTGTGTGCAACTTTCTGCTAATTTTTGTTCTTTACCTTATTAAGCACAATAAGCTCAATTTGACCTTCATCTCTCAGTCCACCTGCATTTGTAAGGCTGTCAGTTAGAACAAGGACAAAGACATAAGATTTTTTTTTTAAAAAAACCAAAGAAATTTGATATGGGAATCATCCAGACACTGTTTGGAACTGCAACATACCAATTTTGCAGAAGTCCCTAATTAGAGCAGAGCTGTCTTGGAAAGAAAAGCTCCCGTCTGGAGGTCTGCCTCGTGCAGTTCCAGGAAGATGTATGAGACCTTTCCCACACCCCACTTAGTGTCTCTGCTGCTTTCCCTGGGGCAAGGTGAAAGTAGCTGAAATTGATTTTCTGCTGGAGAGCTTTTGCTTTTAGGAATTCTCTTTTGATTTCTCATGTCTTGTGATTCCTTGGGAAGGTGTATTTTATAATGAGGTACATTTTTTTTGGAGCCTACTGTGAAAAGGAACCTGGGATCATGGAGCCTTTTCTTAACCTGATTCCTTGTTAAAAATACCCAATCCTGAGTATATATTTACATTTTATTCCAATGGCATAAATAAACCATAGCACACGGGAATGGTCTAATTATTTGTGGGCACTAGTCTCATTTTATCTGATAACCAGGCTGGACATATTAGCATGGTGGTCAGAGATGAAATTGCAGTGTGAATAAACACATCCAACCCAGTGCTGATCTAGCTACCTTGCTACTCAGCAACAGCAGGGAAGAAACAGTGAAAGAACTCCAGACATCTGCTTGGGCAGCTAGCTCACTCCAGAATCAGACCAGGTCTTCTTCATTGTGACCTGAAGTGAACTAAATCAAGGAATACATCTAACCTTGCTGCAGTGGCACCTTTCCCAAACTGTAAAGGTAAACCTAGAGAGACAAAATTGTCCAAATACAGGTTTTTAGTTGTTTCTGTTGATTGAATGAAACTGGTGTCAAAGATGGGACTTGTCTTTTGCCTGATTTGTCTTTTTTTTAAATTTATATATATTTCTTTACTGTTTTCAGTTATCCCCTCAGAATCATCCCCAAAGAAGAGGAAGAAGTGGACACTGGAGCTCCCACAGGCGCCTCAAAATCCACATAAGCTTCAGTATATCTTTCATTTCAGATTGGAGAAGTGTCTCCAAACATGCAGATCAGAGGAAAATGTTATGGAGGACATTGTTTCTCTTCTCTGCTCAGATCTCCTGTGCAGGGAAATTTCTGAACTGAAATGAGTCTGGGACTGAAAACTCTTGGTACATAGTGTTCCGCTAAATAGCTCAGGAGCAATAGCTACGAGGTGAATGGGAGACAATTTTTCACTATTTCTGCCTGTTCTTGCCTTCACGACATCTATTTCTTTTGGCATGAGTATGCATCAGAAACCTTTTACTGTCGTGGTGTTCTGAACTGCCTGAAAGCTGAAAATCAAGATGATCTCCCAGCACCTCCTCACACCAAAGTGTGGCAGAAAAGCAAAACAATATCTGTGGAATACCAAAATTAGGTAGAAGTCCAGCCTGAGGAATCTTTTCGAACTGCATGAATTGCCTACATAGACCAATGACCTGAGCCCAAAAACCAAGTTACAGCATATTTCTGTGTTACGGGACATCTGAATTTTGACACAAACGTTTTTAAAATGCTTTCATAACTTCTACCCTTTGCAAGCAGAAAAGCAAAAACACATCTTGCCATCCAAAAGCACTTTAATCTTGACCATACTTGCCAGTTTACTGGAAATCAAAATTTAATCCCCTTTGAAAGGAAATAATTTCCTGTAGATTCAGGAAGATTTTGATCATAAACAAAACTGTTTAAACCAAAAGGTCATTTAAATTGAGGGTAAAAGCTGCATCTTCATGCCTGTGCACTTACATAATCAGTCTCCACAGTGGATTAAAGCTCCCACAGACCGTATTAATAGTCAGGAAGATTTTATTAATAGTTCGGTGATAGTTTCTCCACAGAGAGATTCTGTGAATATGTGATTTTAATGGATTGGCACGATAAGGGAAGGAGGCTCTCTGCTCTCCAGCTCTGGATCCAAATTCAGCCTCTGAAACAGTGGCAGTAGTTGAAAGTTGTCGTCCTCTGATTTTACAACTTTGTCAGATACTGGATCAGTTGTGTCTGTCAAAAACACATTCCTGAGCGTGTTTGAATGAATGCCAAATAAAGCCCTTGGTGCAGACAGAGTAGGTTGACTTATAGTACGTGCTAGGAGAGAAGGTGAAGTGTCCCCCCCATCACTACAGCTTCAGCTTCTAATTTTAATGCAGTTCCTAAGAAGTGAATGCTTAGTTTGGGAAATCCCCCGGGCAGGAGGTGATGGGAGGCAGCGGCAGGGCCGGGGGCCATGAGGACCATGGGACTGGGCTGCTCCTGCACCTCTCCAAACGGTCTCTGGGGCTCCCTGGAGCGGGAGCAGCTCGCCTGCTGCGATGACTGCTCTGAGCCCAGGCACATTTCAAATCTCCGACAAGTTGCTCGTCTTTCCGTTATCTCTTTTTGGTCCCCTGTGTTTTTGAAGAGACGGGAATGCAAAATTAATGTTGCCAGTGGCAATAATTGCAAACTCGTTTGCTTCTACCTTGGCATGCCCTCAGAGTACACAGGGCTTGGAAATAGCTGCAGAGTAGGGGAAAACCATTAAAAAAAAAAAACACGTTAGTGCTAGCAATATGGCAGTGTTGACCTGCTCAAATACAACTATGAAAATTGGGAAGAACTCATTGATTTTGGGTAAGCTGTGACTGTAACTGCTCACACCACAGAACTCTCTTTTCTTTGAAGCCTGCAGTAGCAAAGGACTGGAGGAAAATCACAGGAAAATATGAGTGCTTAGTTTATTTTTACACCGCATACCCACATATGTAGATGAGTACACTCTGAAGTACTGCTGTCAGGGAAATGGAACTGAAAAATGAACATT